CGCTGCAGCCGCGTTAAACTCCGCGAAGGAAGCCGCCACGAGCAGCGCAAGGAGCGCCGCCGAAGCCGAAGCTAGGAGCGAAGTCGCTCTACTGATCAGCGAACTCGACAAGAAGAGCAGGGAACTCGCCGCTTCCACGTCGGCCAAGGCACGCGCTGCTGCCGCGGCTAGCTCCAGAAACATAGAAACGGCTGTTGTCGGAGCTAACATCAATTTAGCCAAAGAGGTCTTGGCGGTTCCCATCGAGCCAGCGAAACTTCCAGCGGAGCCAGGGCTGGCGTTGAAAGAAGAGAGTACCGCGATCGCGAGCTCAGAGAGTGACGTGGCGATAGAAACGAGCAGCGAAGCATGGTCAATTTAAGGGATGACTGGATGCAGTACCAGGGAACGCGTTTCGTTCGAGGATAATGTTTGGTCGATGTAGGATGTATTCGATGTTTCCAAAGGAAATTCACGTGTCAATGTTGCCTATAGTCAGACAGAGATTGTAATGATGAAAATAAATTGGTTTAGCATATACGTAGGCCTGTGGTGTTATTCCTTGCATTGCCTTCTTTGCACTTTTCTAGCTGAATGGGAAATTAAGATGGATACATAAATTCATTTAGTTTCGTACTTTGGAATTTTTAATTAAAGCTGTACTCTATCCTGCAACTCTGCTGCAACTCTGTCCAGAGTATTTTAATAAAGGAACTATTGCCAGTAATAGGAAACTCTTTGTCTTTTATTTTATATTTTTATAAACCTTTTTTCGACTGACTAGGGTGGAGCTGATTTGCCGCGAATAAATAGGATGTAATATTGGAACAGTCGACATGGATGATGGTCATTCATTTTAGAGACCGTTTTAAAATAATTTTTTTGAAAAGTAAATTAAATATTGCAAGTAAAATACAGAGTCGATACAGAAAACAAGAAATATATGAAAGCGATGACGTTGATCGGTATTATAAAGTACCGTCAATACGCATACTATTTTTATGAAATTATATGGTTATACAATTGTTGATAATATCATTATAACACTGTAAAATTTTCAACAGATTTAATAATATTAATATAGGAAGAAAAAAACATTAATTATATGATTTATTCAACTGAACTTCGGATTTCCTTGTATGATTGTATTATATATTATTCTTTCTTTTTTTAAGATGATTATCCCTACAGAACACAGTTCAACATATATAGTAAAATAAAAACTATGAAAGAGCTTTATTTCTATTTTTAAACTGAACTTGAAATGTCCTTGCCATTGTTCTGTATCCTTGTACTTTCACAATTTTCTATTCCAACATTATTGTAAATTTTCGTAATACATTTAAGTTCATTACATTATATTATCGTATCAACACGTTTGTTTCAATGCTGGATAAGTCAAAAGTAGCTTTTACTGTGACCAATTGTCATAATAATGTCACTATTGGAATAAAGATATTCTTCGCATTATTTGCTCATTTGCCTATAATGTTTGCTCGCTTTCCACTATTGTAGACTTTGATCGTATCGATTAAAGAGATTCATTGTCAACATGCAATCGCAAACGTGCGAAATTTCTGTTAGCAGAACTAGCCTGAATCAATGATAATTTAGCTCTCTGCCTAATCGAGCAACAAGACTCGAGGATTCGTTCAAATAATTGAATAATTCAGCGATAGCTTAAGAAAGATTCCTTTGAAAATTTCAGTCTACTCTAAACTATTTCGTAAGAGTACATATTTGCAAAAAAGGAGGAACAACATAGATGCTAAAACTATGACCACCGAACTACCATAACTCTATCAATTCGTTTCTGTTCTTTTCCAAATTTCCCCAATGTAAAATCCCTTCTTCTCCCGCTCTTCAAAGAAACGCTCCCGAGAGGTGCGTGGCAAGATAAAAATATTTAACAATAAACAATCACTACACCTAAATAAACGTGTCTTAATAATATGCAACTCCAGTACGGAACATCCTCTCCTCCAGTAACCCGTTGAAACAATATTTTAGGGTGGCGTCAGAACAGACGCGAATTTCGTGCAAAACACCTGCTGTTTTTACAATTGTCCGGACATCAGTATATAACCGCGAATGCTGTCCGGAATTGGCATCAATCAGCGAAGCTGCGTCGAACATGAAGATTCCAGCAATACTGGTTACGTCTCTGCTGGTCTGGGGTGGTCTGGCCGAGGGCCACGTGGTGAAGCGCGACAAGGAGCTCAAGGCACCCGCGCCTTTACCGGAACTACTCGGCGATGGGTCTGACGCGCTCGGTGCCTCGATGGAGAACGGGATCAAAGTCGCCAGAGCATCGCAGAATGTGGGCCTGAGCACGGAGTTGAACGCAGCCGCGCGGGCTGCAGCCGCTGCTGCGACCAAGCAGGCCAAAGACACAGAGGCCGCGGAAGCTGGTGCGGGCGCTGCGATTGCCGTCGCTATCGCCAAGCGTGAAGAGGCTATCAAAGCGAGCGAATTAGCCAGCAAGCTGTTGACAGCCGCGGTTGGGTCCAGCGAAGCCGCCGCGTCAGCGTCGGCGAGGGCGGCGCAATTGACGGCCGCAGCTAGTGCAGCTGCCAAAGCTTCTGCATCCGCCTCTGACGCTTCTGCCGAAGCCCAGGTGAGGGCCAACGCTGAAGCAAACATCGCCAAGAGAGCTTCGGCAGCTGAAGCGAAAGCCGCAGCGGAAGCCTCGCTTAAGGCGGAACTCGCCAAGAAAGCGGCCGCCGGTTTATTAGCTAAGGCTAGACTAGCGGCCAGCGCCGAATCCGAGGCCACTAAACTCGCAGCCGAAGCGGAAGTAGCACTGGCCAAGGCCAGAGTCGCCGTCGAACAGTCGCAGAGCGCACAGGCAACCGCCACCGCTCAAGCTGCCACGGCCGTTCAGCTGCAATCTCAAGCAGCTAACGCGGAAGCCTCCGCTGTAGCACAGGCTGAAACTCTGCTGGTCACGGCTGAAGCCGTCTCTGCCGCGGAAGCCGAAGCTGCGACCAAAGCTACCGGTTGGGCAAAGAACGTCATCAACAAGAAAAAGTTACTTTTAGCGAAGATCGATTAAACGAGAGACAAGAGAATTGGTAGATGGTTAAGCCAGAGCAAAGGTCAAGAGACGAAAGACATTGTCGATGGGACAAACGCGACTATCTTTGATAATTTGGTTAAACATGATGACTACTGGCGGAATAATATGAAGGCAGATAATGATTAGCACAACTGAGATTCGTCCGTGTATTGTTTTAGTGGAAATAAATTGTCGTAGCAACCCGAAATCTTTGCGAATGCTTTCTTCCTTCCCTGATTATAAGCTCTCCTTCCATATTTTGATTCTCTTTCATTTGTTTTATATTACAATGGAACGATATATAATAGAAGTATCTGAATCTTTCTTCTTTGATGAGTTTTTCATAAACCCTATTGTTTGAAAGAAATTAATTAAATACGATGAAACAATTTAACGTAGTTTCATAATATATGTATTACATAAGTATATGAGGAAGTTTGAACGATAATTATCACGTAATTACATTTGAACATGGTGAAAACAAAGACTTTCCTCGCATAATTTTTTTAAATTCTACACTAAATTCACAATGGATGGATTCGTTCCATCGAATTTTTTAATTTTTATATGGAACAAGATTACGAAGAATACGATCTTGCGTATTTCATCTTACGTATCTTATTTTCCCATGAAATTTAAGACATCATTTGTAACATGTCATTGTTGTTCAAGAGAAGATGTAAAAATAGAAAGGTGTAAATAAAATGTTTAAAAAATGAATAATAAACCAGTGTGTTACTTTATACAGAAATAATCCTATTGATGTCGGTTTGATTAATTAATTAATTAAATTAATCGACTAATTAAAGCTAGATTAGACTTTTACCCTCGATAGATTTTTTGAAATAAATGTGTATAGAATGTATAAGAAGAATGTGTAAAAATGTACACGTCATGTAGATACATGTGTATATGCTACTTATAATAATAATTATTGCAATTGTTAATACTGCAATTGTTGATCTATACATCAAAATATTAAAATAAGTCTAAACTATAAGACGTTTCAAACTATTTTAGTCTGTCATAGCTAATTTACTATGCTAATTTTAAAGTACTGTTCAAGATCTTATGGGCATATGGCTACTGACGTAATTTCGAAAGAAATATCTCTATTGGATTTAAAAATTACTTTCATTGATAAGCTACCAAATTAAATTACCTTGTACATACAATACGCTTTAATACCTCAAAATTCTAAATATGTACATTATCGATAAATAATATTGAACATCGAATCCAAAAATTTGTCTTCAAATACCACAGAACAACAGGCAACCATATCTTCTTATTATTTCACTAAACATTTGCTTTCTACACAAAACTCTGCTGGAACAACAAAAATTACACATGTTTCTCACCAGGCAAAGCAAAGCACACCTGTAAACACTATCTGGGTCCGAAGAAATAAGCTACAACTTCATCAAGGTGAGAATAACAAAGCGAGACAGCGAGTAATGACGCCAATCGCAACAACACCTTCCTGCATTTACACAACTGCATAGTCCCTACGCTTGCCCTAACTATTTGTACAACTGCAACCCCCGGTATATAACTGGCGCGTGCCGGAAGAATCGGCATCAATCGGCAAAGTTCCGTCGACCATGCAGATCCCAGCGATTTTCGTCACGTGCCTGCTCACATGGGGCCTGGTGCACGCAAGTATCGAACTCAGTGCCCCCAAGCAGGAGTCTGCCCTCGCGGAGCAGCTCCTATTGAAGAACGTGGACACTAGCGCGAAGCGAAAGGAGAACGGCGCCCCGAAACTCGGCGAGAGCACAGCTGCGGCTCTGGCTAGTACCAAGGCAACTGCAGCCGCAGAGGCTAAGGCATCCGCCAAAGTGAAAGCTTCTGCCTTGGCCCTCGCTGAGGCTTTCCTGCGTGCGTCGGCAGCGTCTGCTGCTGCTACGGCCAAAGCTGCTGCCGCTGTAAAAGAAGCAACGCAGGCACAGCTGCTGGCACAGGAGAAGGCTTTGATAGCGTTGAAAACTCAATCTGAGCAACAAGCTGCCTCTGCTCGCGCGGACGCCGCGG